TTTTTTTATCTTAATAGACCTTGGAAAATCTTTGTGAAACTGCTTGACTGGTTCTTGTGAAGTTAATTCAGTTAGCACAAAAGTGATTCTTAAACTAAGATAAGAATGGCAGGGGCAGAAAGCTGAACTGAAGAGTTTCTGAAAAGAATTTCTAAAAACTATATTTGGAAAATTTCTAAGAAAAGAAATAGAGATAAAAATATGAAGTTTTAGGCTTCATTGACTTCAAAGTATTTTGACTTGAACAAAAAGAAACGTTAAATGATAAGCTTTCTCATTTAATTCTGGAAGGAAAAAACAAGGTACTGCATAGTTAGAAGCTACAATTAAATGGGGTTAAAAATAAGACCCCTCTGTGTGTTAGCCCAGATTTAATAATGCAGCCTATCCCCGCTTTCCAGTGTGGTGGCTGAACAGGGTATTTTGGTTAATGACACACTAAAGAATCAAACTCTACTAAATATACTTAATATTACATGAAATGTAAGCCCCACTTTGAAGAACTTAGTGACCCTCTTAGCGCCTTAAATTCTCAGTAGGCTGCTTTTTTTTTTTTGTCCTTTTTGAGACCGGCCGCACTGCGCTCAGCCAGTGACCAGCCGCACTGGTCATCCCTATATAGGATCCGAACCCTCCCGAGTGCGCCACGGGCTCGGCCCGTAGGCTGCTCTTTATGCTTCCAGTCTTTCACCTTTTTCAATCCATTTGCTCCAGAGCAGGTAAGTGGGGTCCCAGCTGCTCTTACATATAAACCCTCAATGGCTCCCCATTGCTGTCAGGACACTTGACACTTTAGCATGGCTTAGGGGGCCCTTCATTTTCCAGCTCCTGCTTCTTTNATATATTGGTGGCAAATTTGCAATAGAATTAGATTTTTCTGATTTTCACCCAATTTTAAATGTAAAATTCAAACCCAGGTGTACACAGTATCTCAACCTCACAGACACATTAAAAAAAGACGCAACCTAGATACCCTTCCCTACACCCTACCCAAAATCTCATATTATCAATAAAACTGAAAGCAACTTTTCTAGATCATGACATAAATTTCTTCAAACAAAATTCTATCCAGAAGTTCAGTACATGAACTGATAAAGGAAAACTTGTTCTGCTTGAATCAGGGCCTCGGGTCTGGAGTCAGATCATTCAGTATGACTCAACAACCCTCGACTTCATGCACTGCTTAGAACGTGAAAACACCACTGAAAATAACTGATCCTAACTGAAAGCTAATTCAAAGCCTAACATTTTGAGGGGAAGGGGGTGTAACTGATGAATGTGGACATTTAAAAGTACAAAGAAAATTAATTCTCTAATTAAAGTCTCCTTTGAAAGCTAATGCTGATTTAAAAAAATTATTCCAGACCTACTTGAGTCTCCTATTTCTTTTTTTTTCCCCCCCCTTTTTGTCTTTTTTCATGACCGGTAATGGGATCGCAACCCTCGGTGTCATGCCCGTACTGCGACTGGCAATGGGATCGCAACCCTCGGTGTCGCGCCCGCACCGTGCTCAACAGTGAGTGGACAGGTCTCTATATGGGATCCGAACCCTCGGCGGGAGCGCCGCCACACTCCCAAGCGCCGCACTCTACCGAGTGCACCACCAGGCTGGCCCAGAGTCTCCTATTTCTATTATACATACATATTTAAGAAGTAATTAATCTCATCATCTCCTCCTGTGAAGTGCAAGGTGATTGTCTTCATAGCGAAGATGAAAAAGAGATGGAAGGTCATCTTATTGGGATGGAAAACTAAAACTCTTTGGACTTACTCTCAAAAACGGGCATTTGCCCACTCTGTATTTGTCAAAATATCTGTATTGTAGGAAAACTTAATCATAGATGTGTAAAATAGACATAACAACAATAAAACAACATAATTTTCAATACTCTTTTTATATCATTACTTTTCATTAATCCTGCAATAGGGATGTTAAATGTCAGGTGAATAATTTGTTATTCACTTTTTCTAAAAACAGTAACTATTTAAAAGATTATTTTTAAAATTCAAGTGTACCACAACATTTGCTGTGAGCTTTTGACATAAGAAAAATGTGTATTTTTCTTTTTTT